TCTTTCTTTCTTTCTTTCTATTTTTTGAGACAGGGTCTCACTCTGTCACCCAGGCTGGAGTGCAGTGGCACGGTCTCGGCTCACTGCAACCTCCACCTCCTGGGTTCAAGTGATTCTCCTGCCTCAGCCTCCAGAGTAGCTTGGACTACAGGCGCCTGCCACTACGCCCAGCTGATTTTTTGTGTTTTTAGTAGAGACGGGGTTTCACTGTGTTAGCCAGGATGGTCTCGATCTCCTGCCCTCGTGATCCACCCGCCTCAGCCTCCCAAAGTGCTGGGATTACAGGCATGAGCCACCACGCCTGGCCAACATGAACATTTTAAATGGTGTGTTTTTCCTTTTGGCATCCAGATGTCTCGACATTTTGGGACACTGCATCATAGATTCTGGACGAGTGAGCAGTTGCTCTTTTTCCTGTAAAGAGAGAACAGGACCATTGTGAAGAGGGGAGGTAGGAAAGGAGAGGGGTTGTGCGTCTAGACTGAGGCACATTGTCAGGGAGTGGGAATGGATGTGGAGGATCTCAGGTTGATTCCCTTCTACCTCAGCTTGCATACCCTGTGGGGTGTCTTTGTGTACCCCAGAGTAGTTCTGCTCCAGTTTTGAGTCCAATTCTCTGAAGGATGCTGAAATGACGCTGGCCACCATTTCAGATGGGGCACACGTTTAGGCAGGTGAGATCTGATATTCCAAGGAATGGCTTGAATGGTTTGGAGAGTCCACTGGGGTAAAGTCCTGAGAAATGAAATTTGGGACTGCGTGGTGGATGGTCTTGAATTCCATGCTGGGGAGTTGGATTAATACTCCGGCAGAGGGGCGCCGTGGGGTATTTTTGAGCAGGTTGCTGGTATGAGCAGAGTGCTTTGCAGGCTGATCTGTTGAGCAGCCCTTGGAATGGCCTGGAAAGAATCGATGCCTGGGGGCAGTGGCGGTGATAACCCCACAGGCTTGAAGATGAAAATGGCTGTGGTTACTGGCATCCAGCTGTGATTTTTAACTCCAGCTTCCAGCTTTTGAATTGTTGCCCTGGTTGCATAGACCTGGTTTGAGCAATCAGTATTTTCTGAAGTGTGGGATCTGAGAGGTTCATACATGGAATTCAAGGTGATATAAAGCAGGACACAGGCATGGCCTTAAATAACACTGAAACCCAAGAGGGAAGAGCATGCCCTTCTCAGCCCTCTCTTAGTCTTGACTACACGTGGAGAAAGTCACACTGCCATTTTCCTTTGGTTGATAAAGAGCCAGCAGCTTAGGCTTAGAGCCTTTGGTAAACAATTGTCTCTAGATAGAATTTTACAATATTTTTGTTTTCACTGAATTATTTCCTATGTCCCAGGCTGTAAGGGGTCCTAGTGTTTCACTTTATTGTATTGATAGAAATCTTTGCATTTTAAACAAGATCATCTCTGTAGGAAAGTTGAGTCAATTTACTAGATCATGTGGAAGAAATAAGAATGCTTGGGGCATGTGAATATGGCAAAAATCATGGTGGTGACATGCAATGATTCAAGTTTTGGAAACATGTGGTTAGACCAATGGTAAAAATGAGCAAGAGTGGAATCTTTGTGCCAATGCTCTGCCAAGCAAGGTCTGGGCTCTGGCTGGGCTCAGAGAGGCTCTGGGTGGTGATAGGAGGGAGTTGCCTGAATTGCAGGGCCCTGGCCAGCAAAAGAGCAGACCCCAGTGCCCCCGTCCCCACCACCAGTCTCATGCTCCCACCCTTGTGTGCCCGCAGAGATCCGCACGCAGCTGGTGGAGCAGTTCAAATGTCTGGAGCAGCAATCAGAGTCGCGACTGCAGCTGCTTCAAGACCTTCAGGAGTTTTTCCGCCGGAAAGCTGAGATTGAACTCGAGTACTCCCGCAGCCTGGAGAAGCTGGCCGAGCGCTTCTCCTCCAAAATCCGCAGCTCCCGGGAGCACCAGTTCAAGTAAGAAGTTGGGTGTGGGTGCACAGAGATGGGAGGCAGCACTGGAGTGGGCGGACAGTTGGTGGCAAAGCAGAAAGGAGGCCGACCTCGTTGGAGGCAGAGGGCGTGCCTTCAGGGCCCTGGGTCTGCAGGTTACTTATACCTCTAAGCCTCAGTCTTCCTCATGTGTAAAGGCAAGCTAGAAAGAGTTTCTCTGCAGAAGTTTCCTGAAGGGAATAAACGAGCAACCCAAGAAGAGTGTTTGTCACAGACAATAGGTGCTCAATCAATTGTTGTTGCTGTTATTATTATCCTACCAAGCACCGGCACTGAGCTAGCCTCCATTTGTGCCCTGATGAGACCCCTACCTCCCTTCAGGACATCCTGTTCCTCTCCAGTTGTCCTTCATTTGGGTGTCAGCCAGCCTTCGTCTGAATTTCTTTAGCACAGTGAATTTCTTCTCCATGGGACTGATGCTCGAACATTCCTCTTCCTTGCTCCCCTGGAGGACCTCAGTGCCCTGGTTCTTTCCCTGCCTTATTTACTTATTTTCGATGCACAAACTGTCATGTGTCCTGATTTCTCATACCCCAAGCTCTGAGATCATGGAGGCCCCATCTGCTTGGGCACTGACTTGGCAGGCCCTGAATCCTCCAGCTACAAAACCTTCTGTGCTTAGAACTCCCTGGCTTCAGCTCATTAAATACAGGCAGGCAGGAAGCAGCAAGTCTCACTTGGACTGTGTCAACCATGAAGGGCTCCACTCAGCAGGCCCCCCGGCCAGCACTGTCTCTCCTTCAGCCATGCTTCCTGGACTCTCCCTTCTCCTTGGGTCATCTCTCCAGCCAGAGGCCCTCAACACCAGGAGATCAGCGACTTGCTTCATCTCACCTGACCTGATCCTTATCCCCCTTCCCCTGGGTCCTGTCCTGTTTCTCTCTCTCTTTCTCTCT